TCAATGGGTTTTTCCGGCCCTAAGTTTTCATTTTCAATTTTGATCCACATCACTTCACGACTTTCTCCTCTGATTGTGAGACTCAAAATGTTAGTTCAAGTTCTTTTACATGCCGTAAAAAGTACCGCTAGCCTTGTCATACCATATTAGCGCTTAACTAGAAGCCCTTACTCTTAATGCTCTTTACATGGGCCGAACAAAGAATTGCGACAGAAAACTGAATTTGATGCTTATCAGGTAGTAGACGGCGGACAAGTGACGCGTAGCCAGTAGGACATTCGAATTACCCTCTTCTTCTTGTAAATGCCCTTGGCCCTTATGGCTATTGTCTTAGGCCAAATCAGATGTTTATCGTTTTGAAAGCGTAGCTGTTGAAGTAGTAAGACACTGTTAGCTCATATATAGTTTTAATTGAAAATAAATGTATTAGGTTGGTCATATCTTGCATCAAAAAATGCTAAGATCTTGAAAATATGAGAATCAAAGTTCTAATTAAATTCATGTATCTTGCAACTAACAATAAGTGTATCTGAAAATGTATTAGAAGTTTTATTCGAAACATATCTAAATGTCGGGTTGAAAGTCGCAAATCGTAATTGTACCAGGGCTCGGCATAGTCGGCTTATAAGAAGCTGGAAACGTTTTTGGTTCAAGAAGCAAAGGGGATATCGTTTTTGTTGCCGAAAAAACTACGTTTCTTTAGTCGACGTTTCATTTTTGATGGCTTCTTACATTTAGGCTTTAAAGAGGAGTTCGTAAATTTTTGCGAATGTCAAGGGAGAGTTCGTTTTTTGCATTTTCGGGAAGCCACCTCGTGCCTAGCCGTGGTAAAAACTCACCACAAATTTTTCTCAATCAAAAGGAAACTAAAATGAAGAATAAAATTGGATCTTGAACCTGCTAGTACTTTCAAAGACAAATTTGAAAAGTAACGATACGTCTAACGGCTTCTATCATCATGTTATGATCATTAAATTTTTCTTTTAGGCTTGTCAACGTAATAGGGCACCTTCTAAAAGTGTATGTTCTCCCAAACTATGCTGAACTGAACAAATATATTAGAAGCTCAAATACTTACGATTTTCTGAAATCTGGCTAGACTTTGCACCAGCCAAATAGTATAGGTCAGATGTAGTGGTTTTGATACTTGAGTCCGACTTTTTTTTCTAATGTAAGTACAAAGCTGTGATGGAGGGAGTCGCAAGCTTGATTGTTAGGAATATTCATGCTATTCACAAAATTTTGCTATAGCGGCAACGAGGAAAGATTGAAGACGATTTGAAAACTGATGATTTCATCTGAACAGCCTAATTGCCACATCTTTTGGTGATTCAAATCATGAATAAATACTTTGCCTCTTGCTCCGCTCCGTATGACTGTAAAAGGAAATTGAAAATGCTGACAAAATGTCGTAATTTTTGTCATCAGTGAAAAAGACCAATGAATCTAGCTTTCCACCACCAATGGAGTTGTCTTCGGTGCGTTATTGTATAAGGCATGGCGAACGTACTCTTTGCGTTTTCACTTGTCTACGGCTAGAGAATAACTCATTCGAAGAACTGCTTCAAGGTGTTCAAAGGTCAATTGACGCATATCAGACGCACGGACCAGCGCATGACGAAAGCAACATTCCATACGTTTACTGTAACGGTACTTGTTTGGTAACGGACAACCCAAGGTTGCGCTTCGGGTACCTCTGTGCGTTGATCATCGCTACCAAGACAAGAAGGAGCCAAAAGACTGTCCCAGACGTCGGTGTCTTGTCACCTTTACGTCATCGCAGAATACCCAGTTATCGCCTGAAAATTGGGTTACGATACCAAATTTCGTTGACGGTCACTTCTAAATCTCATCACTTTCCACCGATTGCACCAGCGCAGTTGATCGTTTGGGCTCGGCGACGCTTCGTCTTCCATAGCGCGCATTTTTTACTTTGATCACTCTGTTCGTTTTTTCCTGACAAAAATTATTATGTCCCTTAGCCTACTGAGATCAATTACAAAAATATTGAATTTCAAGTGATTTTTTAGCGACTGCATAATTATGGAGAATGAAGTACTGTACCTAATTTTTCCACCTTAGCGTCCACTCAGCATATACTTCACTGTCCTTCTAACAAATAAATACAAAACTATAACATTGCTAGAAAACCCCGTCCTTTATTTATACGAGATTTTCGGTTTCTTCTTCGGTAAGGAGTCAGTAAGGAGAGAAGGCCTAGAATGCTTTGCGGAATTTTCATGCAAATATTGTCAAACCCATTTTTTCAACCTTTCCTTTGTCGCATGAGCACACACTAATGAACTGGTAAGCTTATGCGATATCAATATCCGTTTGGTCCCTAATCAACATTCAACTATGCGCAAACTTGAGCTAAAACAGTTCACCTGGCCTCTTTGCTGTTTCCTAATCACAGATAGCGCAATCAAAGAAATGATAGTGATCAAATCAACAAAACAGAGCGAGCTGAGTGTAAAGTTGTTACCGAGTTGAGATCGGCATTGGTCATTCCAAACCCAGCTCTCTGTTGTTTGGCGCAAACTAGAAGTACATCGTAAACAAGCGAAGAGTCATACTGTAAGAACGACAGAACGAAGTTCCGCCAAGAACATAAAATGCAAGTCTTCTGGTTGATTTTGCTTCAAAAAAATTGTAGCAATATGGAAAATTAGTACGTTCCCAAATCTTTCCACTATTGGCCTTTATAGATGAAATTTAATTTTGTCCTACGAGACACAATAGTAATCAACAGACTTGCTTCTTTGTCGAATTGAACTCTGCAGAATTTCCCACTAAATTAGCGTAAGATCTGAAATTCTTGTAAGACACCAAAGCCTTACTGAACACACAATGCACTTGGTAGATGGCCTTCATGGCCAAGATTATAACAACTTAGCTATAGTTGAGCAATTACTCAGTTACATGTGAAGCCCTGTTCCTTATTTTCACGAAAACATTTAAGTGGATGGTTACTTGGAAACTTGGCTTTAGCTCTACCACAATATCAGTTATTTTCACATTTCTGCATCTTTCTTATAATTCCTCTCAATTTTCCTAGGTTTGTCATTCATTCAGTAACGAAAAGCTTTACTTCTATCAGCAATAAAAGTATTTCACCAAGGCTTGAAGTGTGTCAATAACCGGTCTAATCCAGTAGTGGTAAAAACTTGTTTGCAATTGCAGTTCAAAAATCTGAGTTTTATTACAGTTTTATATGACTAAATCACCCAGTTTGATGAAGGAAATTGGCCATGAAAGAAAACGAATTTTCCTCAATTTTCTTCCTATAATGGGGAGTTAAATTTTATTTTTGTGTCAGTAGCCCTATGATAGTTGTTTTTTGACCTTGCTTTGATATTGCAGTATCGAGGATAAATGAAATGAAGAGAAGTGAGATGGCAGTAACTAGTTGGCGCAAACGGTTACTTCCTTGTGTAATTCGTTGTCTTTTATTGAGCGCAGAGCTCTCCGTTGTAGATGAATTACCTTTACAAAACTGCTTGCGCAAGCGAAAGGCTATTCCTAGCCATAATCTGATAGCAAAGATGTTTTCTATCTATCTTCGGAGATCTGTTTGCCTGACCCATAGCCCTGAATAGCTAATATTCGTTGAAGATTAAGCAATTGCACCGACAGCCACCGCAAGCAGATACAGTTTGTTCCAGTTTCAAAACACACATCGCCGAAATGGAATTCCCCATAGGACTCAAAATATCTTTCCGGATCGGATCACCCATTGCCCTATTCGAGAAATGATGTAACGAGGTGCTTCTCACTGTACCGACTGGGCTCTACTCCCGATATCACTATCGCATGGCCTTGAACAGAGAAATTCCCCAAAGATTCATAGGTAGCGGCACTTGAACACTTGCCACGCCCTGTAAATGGTTTTTTTTATCATTTTAGCTGTTGGTTTATTCCTGTAAGGGAGGGCTTTCACTCTGCTTAAGGTTCCATTTGAAATCTGTTTTTGCTTCATTTATCTTCATCGCTATGGATACTCTTTCAAGAGCGATTAAACCACTAAGTACATTTACTAGTCCAAAGCCAAGTCTCGATTATTTGAAAGCAGAAATTATTTTGAGGACTTAAAGAACTGACCCGAGAAGGGAGAACTGTAGATTTATAGCATAAAAAACTACACTAATAATAGGCGGAAGTAATTACACACCCAGCAATTTTGAAGGTAGAGCCTGCACATTGAATAGCCACTTTTTATCCCAAGGACTCCACCAAGAGCAAAGCAACTTTCAAAACTGAACCGCGTGCAAGTCATTGCTCTATCTGATCCTGCTATTTCAATTTTCCTTCTTTGATGCCTCCTTTTCCTTAAATAGAAGCTGCACCTCGGCTGCGGCACTCGAAACGCAAAAGTAATCTACTTTTAGAGCCGAGGTCGCGTCCTTGCACCATTGTGCCACTGCCACAGTTCTCTCTGTTTGCCATAGAAGTTGCGAATCACACTATGAATAGCTCGGCTTTCTCAAGAAATCACAGTTCTAATTCTGTTCACATTCGGGGCAATCCCATCTCGCTCAAAATAATCCCTTTTACCACATCAGTTGAACTTAAACAATCGCTGGAGAAAACTTTCGTGCTGCTGCTCTTGCTCCGTCTTTGTAATTCACCTTATTTACCTAACTTATAGGTACAAATCATGTGGTACGTGGTTGCCCTCGTCGTGTGGGCAACGAGTGTTTCAGCTGACTTCAACTGTAGTCAAGCTCCTGGAAAAGGTCGGTTTCTCTCTTGTAAGAGTGTTAAATTGTGCTCACCTAGTTATGCTATCTATCCTAGTATAAAAAAATATAAAATAGTTTACTCCCTGTGCGTTTAGAGTATCATCAGTACAAAAGTGAGTAGTTTTTCAAAAAAAAATTACTATAGCGTTGAAGATTTCACGGTGACAGCTCTGAAGTCCTAGAATAATTGCTCCTTTGACAAAAACAAACAGATTCCAGGCGGTATTTGACCATGATTTTGATGATAAAAAATTTTAGACATGCAAACGACATGTCAGATGATTCAAGAATGGGACAAAGATGCTCGGAAAGCCATTAAACGACGACAAGCGTTCGACAACAATATCGGCAAGTTCAGGCATTTTTGAGGAAATCTTGAATGTTCTTGTACATCTATTTCTTGGATATACTACTTGTAATTTATGTTATGTGAAAAATTGTCTTTTGATGCTTACGGACTCTAATTATAATTCTGTCAGCGCAACAAAAAAAAATTGTACTCTGTTGCAATAATACAAATGTTCATTTCAGGTGCCCCCGGAGTGCCTGGGAACCCAGATTTCAGTCCAGCGATACCACAACGATTTGCACCCTCTGCGCAAGGGTGCATGAACATCCCATGCATCTGCCCCTATATGGGAGTGAGTGGCTTATTTGGTTTTTTCTATAGTAAGTATTTATATTTGAAAAAGAAAACTGGATGACAGAAGCGTCACAACATTCCACTGCTCAACTTAAACACTGTATCGAGGTCATTTACACCTATTGGTCATAAAATAGAGGCGAAAAGCCTTGAGCTGTCAAATTTGACCGTGCCGCTCCGTTTCGGTCGTTAATAGCCTAAAAGAAACTCTACGCACCGTTCGAAAGTTGGGTTAACGATGGAACCGTTTGTGGAAATCGAAAACGTGGTGTGTGAGGTGTCGCACAATTGGGAAGAAAGATTGCAGCAACTAGCATGTTCGCTATTCTTAAGGATCATCTGCTTGTCCAGAGCGCAAAATCTCAAACCTTTTGGCGGGCGATAGGCCTCCAAATTTTAGTAATTTTTGGGGTATGAACTATGCCAAGTTTGGTGTGAAGTGCAAATAATTTTCCCAAGAAAATTGGGGTATGAACTTATTACGAAACACTGCGCTGAACATTGCACTTTCGACGAAAGATCGCTCGAGAACCGAAACAAAAATCAAGTAAGATTTGATGTCACCTTGCGCTGATATCCAATCTGGAATCGCAATGTTTGGGTGCAGAATTCTCGAAGAACAAGGTCAGGGTTGATCTGGTGTGAGTTTGAATGACAAGTTATAGATGACTCTGAGTCACGTAATCGCGCTGCCTTCAAGTCGCTCCGCATTTGGCGAACATTGGGTGTAACTTGAAATCGTGTCAGAAACCACGCACGGCTACGCCGAGTTTATCGCACAAATTATAATCAGCGTAGAGATGAGGCAAGGATGCCATCAAAAGAATATACTATTTTCAGAAATTTGGGGCCACTTTGAGGGCTTTTAGAGTCACTTCGAAGTTCTGACATCGGAAGGAACTGGTCGAAATGGCGTTTCCATATGAAATGTACACTATCTTTTGAAACATGGATTGTTGATTCCAAATCTGCTATTGGCACTTGCAAAGCGCCCCTGGGAGTGCAGCTATGGGAAGTTCTTGCAGCAAAAATTTGGAGGCGCGCCTACTTTAAATTCATTTGCCACTGTAGTCCGTGAGCTCAAATCGGGATTGTGGAAATACCAGGCGCTTCATGCAGCTATTATCTTTATTCTAATGCACTTATGCTACTGCCCTCGCCCGGAAGATCTCAGACCCTGTTTTTTTTTTACCTTGGCCAAATTATGAATTTTTGCCTCAAAAAATTTGTACAATTCCCCTTCCACAAGCGCTTTACAGATGCCCAAAAAATGTGAAAGCAGCGTTCCAGGCTCTATAAGACAATTTACATTTCATATGGAAACTTCACTTCGAACTAGTATCCATCCTTTGGGAGTACAAGATTTTGCAAAAAAAAATTTTTTTGGTACTTGATCATCAGATCATTCCCAGTGCAAGAGCCCATTATTACTCTGTAATGCCTGATTTCGCTATTTTGGTATCAAAATGACTCATTACATTGAATGAGAAGAGTCATTGGATTGCATTAGCCATACTATCCTGATTTTGTAACCAATCTAGCTGTCTAGCAGCTAACTAATCACTGCAAAAGCTTGCATTACCAAAAAAAAACAAATGAATCATTAGAATATGATTGAACTCAACTTCCTGCCCTCAAAATGAAACAAGAATCCACAATCTTCTCCCGCAGCTCTTCAGTAAGGGAGGAAGATTAGGCAAATTTGATAATTATAAGGGCAGATTAGTATGTGGATTTTAGAGTAAAATGTGTTTAGCTTGATACTGAAGAAATGACATGTTTCAGTTATGATGTTGCATAGTTTGCAAAAACATAGAAAAAGGTTTCTGGCAATGATTCATAGAATAAAAGTAAAAGCGTTTCTCTATTTGAACAAGTTCACCTTTTTGGTAACCTATCAGAAAAATCATTCTCTTCACTTTATTCTCCTGTGTAATCCTATTGATGTTGACAAAAAAAACCGTTTCTCGCCATGTTACCCTGACTGCCCTGGTTTAGAAAATAATATCTCGAGAGAACTTCATATTTTGATTTGTTGAAGAACCCTAAAAGTAGTTGTATCTGTGTATCAAAATGTGTACTGAATTCTATCTTAGAGATTATGCCTATAGTGCGATCTTTTTGAAGTGATTTTGTTTTGTCTCTACTAAACTGGTACTGTGTTCCTTCAGGGCCGTCAAATGGGTAACGGAGGATGTATCTTGCCAAACGGACAACCATATCTAATGGCGCTGCGGAAGGAGTACAGAATGATGACGGACAACGAGAGGAACAGGTTTGTCTGCTGCTGACTTAATGCTTTGGGAGACGTTTGTTGTTTACAAAGTTTCAATTATGCACAATGTGAAAGTGCTGTAAGAGTATTACAATTACAACCTGCAGTGTTCAAGCTTGAAAGAAGTTGCAGACAAGCCAAAGATTGATTTGCTGACCATGAACCGGCAAATGGTTTTTACACTAACTTTCTAGCTCCAAAACAGTCCTATACGGCGTAATGGCAACAGTACAAATTCTACAAGATCAGATTGGTAGTCAGCAGGAAAACACAACGAGTAAATATCGTTTTGGGACATAAATAACGTTTCTATAGCCTCAAGTTCGTGACAGATGTGAAGCAAAGAAGAAGCAGATTATAAAAAGTTGCATTTTCTTCAATCTAATTCAATATTTTTACTTGTTGTAAATTATCGCATGCTTCTGTGACCTGGCTTCCAAAAATGTTTTGCTATCGAGAACTCATGTAAGAAAGAACTGTGTGTTTCAAAGTATACATGCGAAGGTTACAACGTAGACGCGAATACGGTTGATCTAGTTGTTCAAAAAAAATTTTTCTCCTAGTATTCATTTTACACAAAAAACCAAGCTAATGTTCCTGAAATTAAGTTTTAAAAGCACAAAAAATCTCTGTAGTTTTTCTTCTTCCCTTACGACTGTGCTAAAATTAACACCTATATAAGTGGATGTATGCTTTACAGATTGAATATTGAATAGACTAGCATATTTTGATGGTTCCTTTCTAGGTGGACCAACGCATTACTTCAACTGAAAAGAAGTGGTGAATATGATAGACTTAGCGTTATGCACCGACAGGTAAGACTTCACTCATTTTCACCGCAGAAATTTTACAAAAAAAAATTTTTTTTGCAGGTCGGTTCCTCATCCGGTGCACACTCTGGCCCTGGTTTTCTGCCATGGCATAGAGAATACATGAAGAGGTGCGAATACTTATGAACTTACTCTCTGTTCTCTATCTCCTATCAAAGTTACCAAAATGCTTTAGGGTTGAAATCGCAGTACGAATGATTGATCCGGGTATTGCAATGCCGTACTGGGACTCCGTCTTGGATTCGTACCTGCCCGACCCTCGTGACTCCATGATGTTTTCCCCGATTTTCATGGGAGACACTGACGGTGCTGGCCAGGTGATTCGTGGTCCATTTGCAGGATTCAGAACTCTTGAGGGAAGACCGAACATTCTCAGGTATCTTTGGAAAGTCAATTTTGCCTCGAAAAAATTACGGCACTTTAGGCGACTCGCTACCGAAGGAAAACTGTTTACTGAGGCGAATATCAACAATTTGCTGAGTCAGACTGAAATTCAGAATGTGCTGGCCTACACCGCTCCTCAAAACGGTGGGTTACCTTCACATTTTGTGCGCGAAGAGAACTACCTCTTTCCTAATGGGCTATTGTTGCTTTTGCGATGCCCGTGCATCAGAGTTGTACTAAAAATGGAGAGTAGTCACTTGTTCTTGCGCGGCCACTTAAGCGCACTTGCTGGGCGGTGCGTTCAAAGAACATTTATACTATGCTGCTGATGTCTATGCATCCAAAAATCTGGCAAGAGTTCAAATCCAGGGCCAAAAAATTTTTGGAAATGAGACTTAACTTTACGTGTTTTACTTTGTTACGGAGGTGGGACTTTTATTGATTGACAATATCCGTCAGACCTTCGAGCAAAATTATAAAGACCGCTTGTTGGAAGAGAAAAAGGTTTCACGCCACATTTTCATACACAAAAAAACCACCGAAGCACATATTGAAAGTGCGGGGTGCTTGAAAAGTTCGTGTCCTAAAGTACTTCCAATTCGAATTTTGACGCGCTTTCTGTTTTATTGTGCTGATCAGACCTGAATACCATAATCTTAGTGAAATCAAGTTTCTTCGCGGTTTCTTTGATTTTTTATTAGATTGAAACACATCAGTATAGCTTTCCAAACGTCTTTCCTTAGAACGCTTGTTACAAAAAATGAAACATAATTCACAAAAAACTTCGTATACCTGCTGAAAGCCCTTTCTTTAAGGTTTCTTAACTATGCTTTTACTTTCGTAGAAGTAAGTTCGTTTTGAAATATCGTGCTTTTGAAAAGCAAGAGATCCCCTTTCAGGATTTTTTCGTCAAAAAGTCCAGCACCAAAATTTTTATATTTTATCTTCATAACCTTTGCAAGCGTGCAAAATTTTTGAAAACAAATATAACGAAGGTCAGAGAGTTGTGAGACAAGTACATATTGAAATAAAACTTCCAAAATTTTTTCAAACTGAAATTTCAACGCAAACGGGTGCCGCAACTGCCTGCTGTGATTTAGCGCATAGAAAAATCTTCGTTAGCAAGCTATTGAAGAACTTTTGTTATATAAAGAAAGTGTAAATCTAGGACTATTCGTATTAAAAAAATCAAAAGCTATTTCCCTTTTCCGGCGTTGAGAAAAAGAACAAATCAGATAACGCACCCTCCAAGGAAGCTGAAAAAATTGTTTACTTCTAAATTTTTTGGGGTGTCTTGAAGCAAAAAAATATTTTTCTATGTTGATTTAGTGGTTTCTAGGTTTGGCGAACACACATAGCAAAAACTGAGGCAGCGTTCGCAGTTGAAGTGCTTAAGGACACGAACTTTTCAAACACCCTGTAAATTAGCACATGGACACTATATTACAGTTATACAGAGTGTCCCAAAAAGATGTGCACACTGTTTGATTGTTAATAACTCTCTTGCTTTCACGTCTTTTGCCGAGCTTGAAGTACCATTTTGTAGAGCGAGGATTAACTTAGATTTACAGTATTAAGCTAAACTCCAATCTCTTTTTGCTACTGTAGGATTACGGTATGAACTTTCAGCATACAGCATCACTGTAAGATAAGCCTTTTGATGAAATAATTTCAACAAAATTTAAAAAATTGTGTAGCAAGATTTTCAGGCGCGCTGATTTCACTACATAACTTTCCATCAGTTTTTCGAGCTTTCTTGATGGCGTACTCACATTTCTACTGAACATTGGAAAATCAGTTGTTACCCTAAATCTGAATTAACTCATGAAAGAAACATTGTACTGACGTGCAGTTTTCATATTTAGAAACAGCGACTATGATTAACCCAGTTCAAGAGTTCCTGGCTTATTTGGCTTTTTTCTGAGGCAAAATACAGCTTTCCATTGCTGAAAATCCTCCTCGAAATTCCTACCGTAACTCTATAGTGATGAAGAGCGATCGGTGATTCGCTCCATACTGCAAATCTAAGTTTATGCTCGCTCTACAGAATGTTACCTCAAGCTCGGCAAAAGACATGAAAGCAAGAAAGTTATTAACAATCAAACAGTGTGCACATCTTTTTGGGACACCCTGTATAAGTTGGATTTCGCATTCATCAGTAGTTTGCCATGATTTCTCTCATTTTCATGCTACAATAACTTGCCATAATCTATCTGCATACTAAAATAATACTCAAAAACAAAATAAAACTGCAAAAATTTTAACGACATATGGGGGTGGGAGGAAGGGCAGAATTATTGGTGGACTTCCACACCTTTTTAGCTCCTTTTTTTCTTCGGAATTTGCCATGGAAAGATACAAAGTTTGCATCAATATCTGTATGTGACTACCTCGTGTACACATGAGCTCAATCAAGAATTCGATGTTTGCCGTAATCAATTGTTTCTAAATTCTAAAAATCTGTGACTTCCAGGCTTATGATCGATGTGAATGTGCATAAAAGAAAAGTGAACAATAAAAAAATTGGAATAATGCTGCCGATGACTATAACTTTAATTGTTCCTTGATCTTGGCATTTATACCTACCATGCACTACGTTTGATTCGAGCAATTGTTGAATAAGGTTATAGAGCTCATAAGGGAACAAAATGGGCATGTTTGGTTCAATTTTCATCTGCCATAAATGACTTTTCCTTGCGAAGTGAAAATGACATACGATTGTAATGCTATTCACACACTATTAGTGAAACGTCAAGTAATAAACGAAACCATCCATTCAAGAACGTTGCTTCGCAAAATGAGCTTATCTTCGAGAAGGCTTCTAAGCTTTCTACCACCCATCCGTTTGTTAGACCTTTTGCGGTAGCAGCCAAGAGAAATGCCAAAGTAACTCAAGTGTTAGCCCTTACTAGTTTGTTTCTAGTGAGCATTCCATCGCCAGATGCGGTGAAAAGGTCAGGGTTCGGGGCCGATGGCTTGCAAGCAAGCTGGAAATCATTGAGAAAAAAGCAAACGGGTTTCGTTTTTGTGGCCGAAAAGAGACAAAATTTGGGGCCCTTTGGTCAATGATTCGTTTTTTGGAGATTTTTTTAGCTTAGGCTTAGGTCAAAGGGGATTTCGTAAAATCTTGGGAAAGTCAAGCGGACTTCGTTTTTTTTGCATTTTCCAAAAACCACCTCGTGCTGAGCCCTGGAAAAGGTGGCTAGCATCGTAATTCTCCTGTTCAGGATGTCCATTCCGGCCGAACTTTGGGGCTATAGAGTACACGCATTCGTCTGTCCATCTCTGGATCGGTGGGGACATGAAGCCTCCGAGCACATCAGCCAATGATCCAATCTTCTTCTTGCATCACTGCTTCGTCGATTTCATCTGGGAGATGTGGAGACAGAGCCGTCAAAACAGATTCGCCCGCGAAACGGTATGTCAGATGATAGAAATTTCCCTAGTTTTTTCTCGGCGTTACATGACTGGCTAGTAGCTGCTCCAATGGGAAAATGCTTCTAACTTTCCATAGTTAGGAGAACCTTCCATATTTTAAGTTGCTGGTTCATGTTTTGAAGAGATCAGTAGGCCTAGAATGACTAAAAAGTCGTGAATAACCAACTATGTTTATCCAATGTATGCAAGAATAATCTTACCACTAAGTCTAGCGCAAAATCGATGTCTTATTGATATTTGATTTCTGACTTCTATAGATGTAAAGGAGAGAGATTAAACGGAAATGTGCACAAAGTGTGCGACTTTGATCGCATCAATTAGAGGTCAATGTCAGCTATATGAACATAGAATCAAAACCTTCGATTTTGAAGCCTCTGCAATCAAAGTCAAAAAGTTCAAAAAGCCTCACACTTAATTGCACAGGATAATCTCGGGCAGCACAGACTTTTTTTGCTAAAATTGAAGAGGTTCAACTTTATATGAAGGAAAAAAGGGGATGCCCTACTTTCTACTTGCTGCGAATGTTCTCTTATAATTAGGTGTTTACCTCGCTTATAACGATAAAGAAAAGATAATTCTGAATCGGAGCAATTGCTTCTATCACCGAAAGCACATATGAGCGGTAGAATGTGTTTTGATCTAGAGTGATCAAAGTTCAAAAATGTTTTGAAGTCAATTTTGTTTCTAGTGATTTCTTTATAACGGAAGCGTAAAGCTTTTTAACAATGCGTAGTCTGCGATAACTTTTATTCATGCTTATAGTCCACTGTGAGCTACTCCTGGATAGGGCCGTGTAAAAGTAATAGCTGGAACTAACTGTATTTCCTAAAACTGCCTTCCTAATGCTAATTTAGGCTTACCCACCAGATATCGGTACTTGCGCAAATTCCCAACACTTCAGTTATGCTCAAATGAGACCTTGGGATAAGCAAAATCGTGATGGTGAGTTTTTTGTCTGATTGTGAGATAATCTCTAATAGCTAATTCGAGTGCCACAGTTCTGAGCTATGATGAGCGTTACTTGATAGTCGGCTTTGAAATCGCTGTGTGATAAAAAATGAATATTTGCATCCAAAAAATTGGTTTTTTGTAAAAGCAATAGATATGCAGATTCTTCATGCAGTAATTGTTGCGTTAATTTCCATTATAGGACTTGCAAACGAGTACACCGACAATCTGTATCGATATGCACCAAGACCAACTTGCACAAGGCAGAATCCAAACTGCGGTTCACCTTATCTTTTTTGCGACACTCGTGGAAACCCTCATTGCGTGGCCAAGGTGCCGTGAGATTCTCTTATAAGACGAATAGTTACTAACTTCGTCACTTGAGATAAAACCGAATGGTCTTTGCCGTGGTTTCGAAGGCTTTGATGCGTGCTGGCAAGGAGCCTGTATCTCTAGTTGGTGTCGACCAGGACGAGCACCACAACTTGCCGAGGTAAGTAGGAAAGGTGCCGAAAAGTTTTTGTCATTTTATACAAAATCACAATATTCTTACTTTAAAACCCTGTTGGGATAAACTTCTGTAGATCAAATTAACAAACTGTTGGCTTAGCTCTACAAGATGGAGTTCAAACTTTCGCACAAATCCTGATTATTTGGATCACAGCCAAAATTTAAGAAATTTATAGTATGAAATCAAATCTCCATCCAGATAAATTGTACGGACCTCCAACTTGCTTGCGCATATACTTTCAGCAACAAATAGCATGTGCAAAATACAGTTTTTTTAAGGTTTGGTAAACAAAAATTTGCATTCCTGCGCCAGGGTAATGCCAGGTTACTCGCATAGAGGCTCGGAAGATTACCATAAAGTCTTGGTTTCCACAAGTGTTGGTTTTCGAGAGTTAGCGGAAGCAAAAAAAATCGGAAAATGTGGTATTCTATACTTCGTTTTTAGCCTTGGAAGAAATTTGCTATCTTATCTATTGCACTGCAAATGCGTGAGCAAGTTGAAGATCGCTGAAAGGATATCCTATTTCTCGGGTATTAAAAGTTTCTGCTATTTAGGCGTAAAGGCACCGTCCAATCAAATTTTCGACCTCCATGTTTTTGCCGTTCCAGGGCCTTCTCATACCCCTGATTCCGAATATCAAGCTAAAATCCGCGAAAACCACGAAAAACCCCGTTTTCAGAATCCGCAGAGCGATTCTTCGGTACGGTAATTAGTTGGGCGCGCACGGATGGGCGGGACGGACGTCACGCCCACTCCGAAAGGGGAGGAGCCAGCGTTGCGAACGCGGCCTGAAGCGATTTCCGAAGCAATTTTTTCGTTCGGAAGCAACTTCAGGCAGCGCGAATTGTTCAGTCATGCAGTTGAGGGCCCCGCATCTGCTAGGTATCATAATCTCACCAACCCCAATTTGGGTGGATGGTGCCTTTAAGGTTTCACGTGGTCAAAACAATTGCAAATTTCCTCCATACCGTCTTGTACAGTTTGTTCCACACTCGAAGGGTATCTCATACTACTCAGGAGTTAGGAAAATGACTCTTTACAATACAAAACTCATGAAACAACTAAATAGTCTCTCCCAAAATCCACATTCTAGCAGCCGCAGACGACGACCGCCCTGCAGAATTTGCAGCAGCGAAATACTTTGCAACCTATTCAGCCAGTTCAGCCACTTCAGACAGTTCAGCCAAGCACTCCTCGTCCACAACCAACTCCTGTGGTAACATTTTTTGAATAATTTGCATTCTAGAATTACAGAAGTACGTCAATAGAAGCGGAGCTAAGTTTTTTTTTTATCTTGGCCTAATCTTTCCTTCATGCCGTAGAACATTTGAAAATGATTCACATTGAGGTTCCAATCAATACAGTCGCAAATAGCAACTGCTACAATGATGATCCATGCTGTGATTTATGGGCACAGCAAGGTGAATGCAGGATGAATGTGGCCTACATGAATAGGTACTGTCGAAGGAGCTGCAGAATCTGTTCAAATCCAACTGACAACAGAATGGGTAAGAGATAAAAATTGCAGTCTGTGTCAATCGGGATCAGGCCCGAACCGTTGGCGTAATTGCACACACGCCGCGCTAGAGGTTTGCGCTGCATGGGCGCACTGTCGGAGAAAGCGAGAAGAATGAAGAGAGAGCAGACAAGCAGGCCGGAGAGGGCGTGACGCAAAACACTAGCGACGCGGACTCCCGCCATGTCAATCTTGGCCTGATTGAGATTGGCACAGACTGTAATTTCTGATGCTCTATCTAAATCTTCTTTTCCCTACAGGCTGCCATGACCGACATATCTCCTGCGCATTCTGGCGAGCACAGAACTACTGCACTCGAAGACGTCAGTGGATGTCTGAGAACTGTCAGGCTTCCTGTGGATGGTGCGCCATGAGCCGTCAACAATTGTGCGCTTCCGTGGCCTTCATGAGCAGAATGTAAAATTGAACTTCTCCTTGCAATTATTGGCTCTTCTCCCTTAATGGGACCACACTGCCGCACTACTATTTATGCATGAGCACGTCTTTCCCTATAGTCGTTCACACTGCCCAGCCGTCTGAAGATTGGTTGTGTGCCGGGCATGTTGGAGTCAAGATCGCGGTTATTTTCCGTAGTTTCACGGTATTTGATACTCTGGTGGCACAAGCTCAATAGTTCGCATCGTTCTCCAATTGCTAGTGGTTCTAGACCTCGTCCTACGTCAGCACAAAAAAATTTCCAGACGAAATTGCACGTGCATCACCTGCGCTTCACATTCTGATTTTATTCTCACCCCGTTCGGGTAGATATTTCTTGCTGATTCCGAACGTTATCCAATCAGAATCTTTCCGTTTGATTCTCTAGTCGTACCGTAGTTCAAATAATTCCAATGTTTTGTATTCCTACGATTCTTCTTGTGCGCCTTTCCCCAGATTCTCAATTCAAACACTAATTAATCGACATAATGAACCAATTTCGAACGGGATATGAGACTTGCCTTAACACGCTTCCACGTGGGAGTTTTTTGTATGTCACATTTTGCATTCACTGTGTGTCCATGTAAATAAAAATTGCAAATCACAGAGTGAACGAGCATTTTGAATTGGACCACATATAAGTGGTAGATGTATTAGGCTGGTCGGTAATGAGACAGCTTGATTTTAATAACATTCTGAAGTTCTTTATCGATAACAACTAGCATTCTGCAATTTAAACGTTACTCATATAAGTGACAATTGTTAGCATTCTGGCAACGCATCACCGCACCTCCTTTTCTACTTTGGAGTAGCGCCTTGATAAATTCGAACACAGCTTTTTTTGAAAATCTCTCAGTGCGACTATACCGTCAAGTCATATTGCAAGTGACGAACCATTCAGAAGAGCTTTTACCGTTTACAAAGTATGCAAACGTTTTTTTTCCTCTTAGATAGAGACAAAAGCAAGAAGTTGATTGCTGTTGCAATAAAAATGTAAAAATCATCTTTGTGAGGTGTGCAAGCGGACTCAGATAATGAGGTAATAGGAGAGAAAAAATGGAGAAAATTGAAGAACATACATCGACATACATCATACAATACCGCTCACAGAATGTGCAAAATTTCCGTGAATGTCGCAGAATTCCCGGAATTTCGCGAACCTTCGCGGAATTCCCGGAATTCTGCGACATTCACGGAAATTTTGCACATTCTGTGAGCGGTATCGTATGTCTCTCATCACGCTGCATTTTGACAGCACAAAAATTGTATTTTTCAGTGTATGTTACAACTCAAGCCCAGTGTTCCGTCCTTCTGCATTCAATTGTAGCTTAGAATGCACTGAAGCCAGACTTCTTGCGTAGTTTTACCAAGTGATTCTGAAAAAGTGAATCAATCAACCTCAACTCCATTTAAGGCTTGAGGTTTGAATGAGCTGAGAGGCCTGAGCGCTACATAGAGAAGACTGAAGTCAATTATTAGGTTCAACACTAAGTTTTGCAACTTTTCTCATAACTTCCCTCTCACTCAACATGGTGCTCTCAAATTTTGCCACTGTGTTGGTTATTATGTATACTACAAGCGCAGCTGCTGTCCTACCAAATTCTGACGTCGCAGTGAGGGTTACGGTAGGTGTATGGTATGAAGGGGAAAAATTCAAAGTTTGACGGATTTGGCTGAAACTTAGCATAGGGGTGTTATTCGACGTACTGATCACGAAAACGATAGTGAAATTGCGTGATAAGGGCTTTTTTGTAGGATTACTGTAGGTGTACGATATGGGGTCTCACCCTAAACAAGGAAAAAGGCGTTGATTCAACAAATGAATATGATATTCGCATTCGGCAGGTCAAGTAACCTTTCTATGTAAAGTCTCGGCGGAATTTGAGCTTCGGACTCTTTAGTCATTGACAGTCGTCCCCGGCAGCTCTTGCGTACATCAAATCGCTAATGATTATTTGTGAGGACGCCAAATCTCGACATGCCCCTAAATTTTGTTTCTTTCTCACTAGGCCAAAGGAGTCAACCTCCAGCAATAATTTGTAGACGAGTCCGGACTACTGTGCATGGTCTAGGCTGCCAAAGGCTTCATTTTAGCTTGAAACCTCAAAAATTCTCAAATTTTACTAATTTTTGAAAAATGCCTGAAACTTTTCTATTTCGTGTTCAAATTTCAGACAATTTGTGCTCACTTGTAGCTCACATTGCATTCTACATGATGCCAAAGTTTGAGTGCGCCATGTTGAATGAGAGTGAAGTTATGAAACAAGTTGCAAAACTTAGTGTTCAACCTAATATCTCCTTGTATGCCTTCAATGAAACAATTTTTTACATTTACAAGCAGCATTGAATTTCAAGTCATTTTGGACATTTGACTTTGATAAAAGCGGAGAGTCATTTTGGGTGCTCGATAGCCTCTCACCATAGCCATGCGGTCCATTCAGATATAGTGTGCATTGGTAATGCATCTTATCCGATGGAAGTTGTTTACTACATCACGGCGCCAAGTAAATCCACTCTAGTTCATAACATTCGACGAATTGTAGCTAGAAAAAATGCGATAGCTGGATAGCGTTATTAAGCGTCAAAAAACTGTAAATATGAAGCAATCTGAAAGTTGATACACGAAGAGTTTGAAATCAACGTTGTGGGTTACTTTGCAGAAACGAATTTGCACTGCTCTTTCAGCTTTGCAAAGTCGGAATGACACGCATTCAGAAAATGATAATTTGAAATAACAGAGGACGGATTCACACTTGATGTGTAATTTCGAATAAAAAAAGCACGGGATTGAAAGGCGTATTCTTGGTAAATACTAGTCATTCTCAAATATAGTGTGCTCTTCATTGAGATACTCCGCACAAGGCGTTCCGTAACAAAAAAAAACACACACACATCGAGAAGTTAGTAATACAGCGGAATGAACAAGAAACGTAAACGAATGCAGACATCATCATGTCAATCCGGATCTAATCCTAGTCAGACGAAAGTAAGAAAAATGAAACAGCTTGCATTGAATATGTTGATAGGCCAATAGATATACAAATGTAGGCATTGATAGTCATTGATACTCGCAACTCCACAACTTATAACTCCAAGGAAAGGGACCTATGCCCTCTCGTTGCCAGCGGAGCGATCTTTACATCTTATATATAAAGCTGAATGTCTGTTTGTCTCTGTCTGTATGTCTGTCTGTCTGTCTGTCTGTCTGTCTGTACGTATGTTCCGAATAGAAAATTCCATTTCTGAACCGATCGGGACCAAACTTGGCACACATACACTTTGGGCCCCGGCGAACGCCCGTAAAAGGGCTCGGACCTGGGAGGAGTTGCAGGTGCGCTCCATCGCCATTTCGATTAGAGCACCGTTTTTTTCAACTGGAGCGCACTATCTCCAAACACCACATTTGACGCCATTCGTAGATACAGTGAGTTTCGACCCGCTTTAGGCGGAAATTGGATTGGCGGGCGTCCGCCACGCAACTGTTCGCGCCGTTTCGCAGCTACAGTATATCATATCGCGCTGAGAACCCAAGTCTGCGTCTCTTCATTCTCCTCAGTCTTTGCTTGGCAAAATGCCAGCGCTATGCGCTCGCGAAGCCTCCTGCAATGCGCACGCGCTGCGCCACCTAGAACCTTTTGCCTAATCCGGGATGAAACCGACTGTAGCGATGAGTACGTGTATTTTTTTTGCATCCGAGAAAATTTGGCATGTTAACACGCTAGTCAGAGAGTCAAAAACTATTTCGTTGCTGTTAAATGGTTTTCCTGATTCGTTGATGCTCTTCCGAAAAGGAGACTTCGCTTTATGGAACATCCCGCTTGCAGAGAAGCAAAGCTTGGGGCAAATATATCCACATTATACATTATATTTCATCAAAGGATGTTAATATATTATTGCAATGCATAGCTCGCACTAAAGTCAGGAGACTGACTGAAAATGAGATGGTAGTGATGTTTCGCGGTGATAGAGAGGAAGTTGCCGAACAATGTAATCTGTCATCACATGAAGTGCTAATGGGCATCGGGTTCAATCTAATAGTTTATACAGTTTCTTTTTCTGGTTGTCTACACGGAAATGTGTTCGCATATCTTTAGATGTGATGTTAGCATCTGGTAGGGATCGTATGCTGTTTTCTCGATTGCCTTTCTCGATGAAGCTAGGTGATTCGTTCACCATCAGCGAATTCTACTGATGAACATCAAAGGTATTGTGCAAACGATACAAAGTAAGTTGATTGATAAGTTGTGGAAGAAAATCGCACAACATAGAAGAAATTTACTTGAATCTGGTTGCACTCTGAGCAGAAATTGTGTACATAAACGAGTTCTTGGCTACTTTTGAAGCCCAAAATCATTCTGATCCTTTTTGATAACGTTGCTTTCATAGAGTGCTAAGCACTACATAGCAATTTTCCCTGGATGCGTCTCGCGCACCAGTCTAGAATTGAGTACAGTGACATATTTTTGAAGAGAATCCTAGGTAACCCCTTCTTTGTAAAGTGCATTAAGACTAACGCCTGTTCAAGCGTCGAATCATTGTGCAGCTACCGCTTCAAATTGAAGATTGGACAAATGACCTTCTTCAGGTCATATGTGAACTCCGAGCCAACTTTGGCGAACGATCCTAGCTGTAACAGCTCGACAAGTATAGCTCCACAAACAAAGCAGCTATACCGTCTGCGCCCCAGAGAGGTTCCCATATGAACCAGCGGCGTAGTGGTGCGACGCTGCCTTTCGCTCTTTCTGACACCTTCCTCCTGAGATTTCAACGGAAGGTCGAGGTTAACACATTCAAAAGACTATGGGAATCTTGCTGGGGAACGAACGATACATAAGAAATCCACGAAAGCAATTCTTCAAATAAGTGTAGGACATATCCAATGTCAGCTTGATCATGTAAGTGTGGAAACGAACCATAAAATATAACGTACATTGGAATCACTTATTTTTATGGAGTTCAAAAAGTGTTGGAGGATGATGTTGGAAGAGGAAGCAATCGTAACAGTGATTAATACACTGGTGTAACTTGTTGCGTTACATACTTCAACAACTTTCTCTAGTTTACCGGATAACATGTAGCCATCTCTTCCTCAGTCAATCTCATGGCTCGTACTAGTAGCCGTGCAACAGTCATACATCTGCAGCCTTTCATCACCGGTGACACTCCCTTTCAGATGCACAAGTATTTAGAGATAGTGCGCTCCAGTTGAAAAGAGGTGCTCTAATCGAAATGGCGATGGAGCGCACCTGCAACTCCTCCCAGGTCCGAGCCCTTTTACGGGCGTTCGGCCCCGGCGGGTGTCATAGGCTACTTTTCGTCATCGATCGATATCGATTTCATCGATTTTTTGTAAAATTTGAGCTACGGGGCTGGGAGTTGGCACAGGGGGGTAATCG